AGTGTGTTATTTACTAGTCTATATTTTAATGTCTTAGATCATCCTTCTTCAACTGAATGCTCTATGGATGCTTTGCTGGTTTGGGATGATTACAGGTCAACATACTTTCATGACAGCTAATGGCCACCTTAGGTCTTAAAGTTAGACATGCTGACCAGGCATTTTGGGACTTACATTCCCAACAAATCTGGAGGACAGCAGTTAGGGAAGGCCAAGGTAGACAACGGGGGGGGGGGGGGGGTTCTTCCTGTCCAAACTGTCAAACCCGGGAAAAGGCTTATGAAAATGCATGGTCATCTCTCTTTTCTGCATGAAGTGTTCTTCAGTTCAACAATGCTAGGTTTGTTCAAACCTTGCTACTTACATCACTTAGTAAAGCATTAGCCTTCCTGGCAAGCTCCACATTAATACTGTCAGGAGGATAGGAGTAATTATGGATGCGATGCCTGTAGTCTGTATCACTGATGATCGCCTGGGCTTTCTTTGCTTGTACAACAGGAATCATATCCAGCGGTGCTGTGTATCTGGTCTTTGCTACTTCATAACCTTTTTTATATTCCAGCTATGGTAGAGTTAATACATGTTATTAACAATTTAAAGTTTGAAAAAAGAAGCTCAGAACTTTGTAAAATGTGGCCGATAGCCCCTCTAGAATATGCAGGGAATATGCTAAAAGCATGCACAGCTTATTTAAAGAATCCTTTTTCTGCAACATGAGAAGATCTTCTGAAATGACCACTGTAATATGCAAGAAATAGACTAGGTTAAGAGTTGGGCTAATTTTCAAATCAGCAGATATGCAATAGGTGTATGCACTTCTGAATATATGCCAGAGTTACTTATTCTAAAAATTTGGTGCACCTACTGATAGCTTAATATTTCACTTTCACTGGTCTACTTTTTGTACTTGGTAAGCATTCAGGTGAATAGTCCAAATATTCCCCTTACTAATATTTGCATTTCCTGATCATTTTGCTAAGCAATTTTGAGAACCCACTTTCATCCAAAAGTATATTATTCCCCATTAGAGGATTTGACACTCTGGACTTGCTCATTATGATTTCAAAATTTAGAGATCAGCAGTTCTTTATTCATTTGAATTTCCTGAATGTAAATTTCACCTAAAGAGACACTCTGAATATGTTGGCTGGAGAATTCTGGGAGTTGAAGTCCACACATCTTAAAGTTGCTGATGTTGAGAAACACTGATCTAAACAAAATAGCATTTCCAGAGAATTCAACATACCACTAACAAACCATAAATATTATTTGGTTTATCTGTACTTACATCACTCTGTTGCTTGGCCACTTTCTGGCAATGTATCATTTTGGGATCATCTTCAATACTCAGAGCTCCAATTAACTTGCCTTTGCTCTGTTCATAACCCTTTTTGTATTCAACCTATATGGTCACAAGACAATAATGTACTTTGGTATTCTAGAAACTTGGCTGCAAATGTAAATCAATCCAAGGTCTACCTTAATTTCTATGTAACACTTACATCACTTGCAATTTTTTGCTTGGCTTTAGCAGCCAGAATTGGAATGGCATCCACCTTGATGTCAAATTTCTTTGCTTTGGATTGATCCCAGTCATACTTATACCAAACCTAACCAAGGGAAAAGAACAAAATACAAGAACAAGTCATGACATAAAATCCAAAACATATTACATATAATCCATACATTTATCTTAGTGAGTGCATAAACTTATAACTCCACAACTATTTTAATGGGCATGTTACTTTGAGTAGACTAACAATGGAATAATCTTTTTTGACCAGTTGAACTATCCACCACAAGATTTCAAGCTCTTACTTTCAAATTCACTCAGCAAATATGTGAAATTTGTATAAAATAAGCCCTGATTATTTTATAACCCCATTATTCTATATTGCAAGAGCTGCCAAAGATATGATCAGGACATTAGGGTTTAATTTCAGGACATTGGTGTAGAATGCAGATCCCCATCATACTCCATGTACCCTAAAGAACCTTTCTTCAGAGCTAGAAAGCAGTGATCCCAGTAGACTAAATGGGTTTTTCTATCAATAGTAAATAATTCAACATTCATCAAATGAAGTCTTTTTCTTCACTGGTTATTCAAATGTATCTCTGTCCATGGACACTCACATAGGGACACACTCACACACAGTAATATTTGCTATTAATTCCTGTGATTTCCATCACTTTTGTTCTTGGTCTTCATAGCCTCCTAGAACCTCACTAGCCTCCTTCCCTAGCATCTTTCTCCATGTCAGCACATATAGATTCTCCTAAACATCTGCTTTGATGGTTTTCTTTTCTCCTTTCTTCTTCATCTATTCATCATTCCTCCTCTTCAGAATCTCATTTCTTAATTAATCACTGGCCTTTCCCCAAGCCTGATGCCATTTACCAAATTAACAAGGGTGATGAAAGCTGATTATGAAGATGGTCTAAGTGGTGATCTAAGTTCCCTGCCTCTAAACTAATCTTTTTGACAGGCGTTACATGACAATCAAATATGTCCTGTTTTATCATCAACATCACGAATAGCATTATGAGTCTCATCGGCAGCTTGCAGCCCAGTTGTCAGTTATATCTTTTTAGCTACGAAAGTGTCATTCATAAGACTCTTACATCGCTGACGTTATAGGCATTGACTCTGGATTGGAGGAATAAAGGAGCATCTGGAGGGACAGAACATCTGCCTTTCTCAGCTTCATGTTTGGCTTTGTAGTTCAACTGAAATGCAGAATGAACAAATACTGATATAAAAAGTGACCATTTGGAGGACAGCAGTTAAGCATGCTAGTATAGCCTGTTAATACCTGAGCTAAATAAGAGGGCAATCCAAACCATTTAAAGTAAAAGTAAAAGTTACTCTAGTAATCATCACGATAAAAAAGCAAGGTATAAATTAAATAAATAAATACGTTTCAACTGTTTGGTTAATTCAGGAAGGGTTGCATCAATGTCAGTTAACATCAGGGTACGAATGGCCTTTTGCTTTCATGAAGACAGCAATAATAGACAACCATCTGCTTTCATACCATACATCTTTTGAAAATTAAAAATAGGAAGCACTGCCACAAAACACTCAGTGTCAAAAATAGATCCCCCATGTTAATGCAACATTAACTGCCTATACATCTCTGCTGACTGGCTACAAGGCTCAGCCCTTGTTTTTCCAATTATATTCCTACTTGTTTCATTTATCTATTCTGGCACTAAATATGTGCAAAAAATATACAATTTTGGAAACAGAACATTCCAAGGAATTCTGAACTATTCCATTATTCTTTTCAACTATATGGATCTGGCTGTTCCAGGGATGATCCAAAGACTTTCCAGAAGTAAATCTTCTGGAACAGGAAGTAATCTGTGATGTTCCCAGCATGATCCAGCCTCACATTTCCATAAAATTTACATTCAGAAAGCTTTGGGACTACCTTTAGGATGGCTGGATTGGTGTGGTCTAGAGAATAATGGGACATTCTGATGTTCTTCAAAATGCTATGTTCCTGACGTTCTACGTTTTAGACATCATTATCTGGAATGCTTTCAACATTCAGATAATAAAGCTACAACTTCATGACTGGAAATCCATTACTGGAAGAGAAAGCATCTGGCAAGATAAAACCAGACTGGACATTGTTTGAGTTGCCAGGTTACTTACATCACTCAGCTGCTTGGAATTCATTTGTGCTCGTACCATAACCATCGAGTCTGTCACAGGGGTAAACTTGATCTGATCAGGATGCTTCTTGTAGGCATGCTAGACAAATGAGGAAATAAAAGGTAATGACATTTCCTTTTTAGTATGTATCAGATTATAGTCCTACATTTCAGTATCTACAGAAAAAGATTTTTAAAAAATTCTAGTGTGCTAATATGGTCCATTCATTCAGCCAAATTATAACTAAACAACACACTGCTGTGTATTAATCCTAAAGCCTTCTGATTATCAAAGATATATATTTTGCTATATTTTAACTAAAAAGCACAAATGAAAGCATACCGTGTCATACTTGTTATACACAGGTACAATGCTACAGCCTATATTTGCACTGCTGAGGATCAAGGCTATTAGTAGTAAGTCTGTGCAACACATCTGAAACAAAAACCCTCTCTTCAAAAGATTAAAGCAGCCACTGTTTGCAAGGCTTCTACAGCTGTTTCCAAATCTGCTGCTGGCTGTCTGCATATACTGTATATCTGCCTGTGCAGGCTATATTTCTGCTGGGAGTGCCTGCAGAATGAAGTGATGTTGCCATGCACATGTGTGAAAGCAACCAGGGACAGCTTTCCAAGCAGTCGAGTAAGCCTTGCGAAGAACAAGGCTACTTTAACAGTTCCAAGAAAGGTACTTTATTCCAATGTACTGGTGCACACTTTCACGGCTGATATCTGTTGGGCAGTGTTGTGCTTCAGGGTTTAGTGACCACGGTTTAGACAACAGATTTCCTGGCTGTGGCTGGCATCTTCCGTCCCTTTGTGAAACATCCCTTTCAAACACTTTGCACTGCTGTAAGGAAGAACACTTATACATGCCTGCATCAGCTTCTATGGCAAAGCACATTTATTTGCTGTATTTGTATCCTGCTGTGAACGACAGGGACTCAAGGCGGCTTACATTCATAAAACACACATAAAACATCTGCTATGAATAACAAAAATTAAAGTATAAAACAGAAATATGAATACATGCCAAAATAGTAAATAGCCACCAGCAAAAACTAAGGCAACAGGCAACCACCAGATGTCACAAGAACCCTGTATGTGTGTATGAACAGCAACTTTTCAGGGCAATAAGTAAAAAAATAGACAGTAACAAAACTGAAGCAGCAAGTATAATACAAGACTGAACATAAAACCCAATATTGGCCTGTCAAAACATAAAAAAATTAAAATGCCTAGGTGATGGTACAAAGCCATCTGGTATCAGGCTTCAGAATGATCTTTTCAGGAGGGAGTTCTCAAATCAATGAGCAGCAATAGGAAAATGCCCCTGGCATATACTTTGTCAAAGCAATTATGCAGTTTCCTAAATTCTGATTCAGCATCGCATGTGACCTACCCATTCTAACTTAACCTTACATGGAAACATTTTGGTTTTTTCAGCATTATGCCTGGCATGTTTAAGAAAACATGGTTAATTCCATTCTGATGCCAAGAAAACAATATGGATGGGTGTTTGCAGAAGGTAGGAAGGTAGAACAAGGGACATCATGTCCATAATCACCATGAGTCAAGACCAATCCAAGGAAATATTTATTAGCATTGTAATATATGTTTACTTTTTTTTTAAAAGAACACTCAGCACTTTTCTTTTAAGGTTCTGGACTACTGTACATACAATTATAAGATCTCACGGTAACAAGGACTTACATCTTTGCATGTGTCCAGCTTCTTGATGGCTTCATATTCTTGAGTTATGGTTTGAGGAAAATAGCATTTAGCCTTTTCATCTTCATAGTCTGCTTTATAGTTTTTCTAGAGAAAATACCAGAGTTCAATAACATCCATGAACTGAATAAGAAAAAAAGAGAGAGAGAAATAGGTACCATTCATACTTACGTCGCTCTTCAGAGCTTCAACCTTCATGCAGTGCACTTGATAGGGGTCCTCAATGCTGCCTATGTACCGGCCCAAGACATTGGCTACATAAGGCTCTTTATATTTCACCTGTGGAGCAACACAGTCACATGTTATAACAAACCACACAAAGCTATGTCTGGAGCAGAAGCGAAGAAGAAATTTCCACCACACTTACTCCACTGAAGTTCTTAAGAGTGCTGTCGACCTGATACTGTGGAGTCTCACAATAGTTAATGCTTACTCCTTTTGCTTTTTCAAAGCCTTCCTTATATAATCTCTGCAGGAGTAGAAAAAAATAGAGAAAGGGGTGTAGGAAGTGATGTGGCAAATATCATTCCTTTTGTGTATGATTTGGCCTCCCACTTACACATTTCTGTTTCCTTTCCATCCTGAGATATACATCACAATGCATTCCAAAACATTTCACTCAATTCTACATTCTGAACCCATAATTAGGATGGAGACATAAGCACAGATTTTATTTTTATTTCTTTATTTTATTGCATGCATTTGTAATGCCACCCAACTCAGACAATGTGAATCTGGGCAGCATAGCAACCAAGCAGGATAATTAAACAACCAAAAGAGAATTCCATACAACTGGACTCAAATCCCTGGGAAAAAAGCATCTACTATGTATTAGACCCATGATATATGTTCAAATAGGTTGATTCTAATACTGGCTAGAATACTTTTATGAGAAACCCATCATCAGTTCATAAAGGAAGCAGCCAATATACTTCACATCAGTTTAACGTTTTGTTGTTGTTAATGTTTTAGATAGAAAGATTTGGACCATGGATGTTCCATTTAGCTCACTGAAGGCTGATCATCTTGATGTTCGTGAATTGACCTTATCTTATTTCAATCACTTCTTCATTAGGCAATTCACTACTTAATCTGACTGAATGAATTGGGTTAATTAGGCATTATATAAATATAAAACTGGAAGTTCCCAAATTTTATAGGCATAAAAAATATAAGCAGATTGTTGAAGGTGAATATGGTGTGTTTCTTCTTTACTGGCCATGATTAAAATGCTACTTGATGAAGATTGTAATTTTAAAAAAACTATTTGGGAATTGTTATTTCACTATTAATTCTTCTTGCTTTAAAACTCTAGAATACAGGGAGCTAAAAAGAGTTTTGCTACATCATCACAAGGGTTCTAACATGCCACATAACCCATTTTCACTCTACCCTACTTTGGGGTTACTTACATCATTTTGCAGTTTGCCTACTTTCAGAGAATGTAAGATCTTGGGATCATCTTCAACGCACAAGGCTCCGATAAGCTTCCCTTTGCCCTTTTCGTAACCCTTCTTGTACTCAACCTACATGGGGATGTTGGAATAAAATACTTTCATATGCTATAAACTTTGCATGTCAATTGAAAGCTAAGGATTACCTTCATTACTCTGTGTACTACTTACATCACTCGCAATTTTTTGTTTTGCTTTAGCAGCCAGAATCGGAATGGCATCCATCTTGATATCAAACTTCTTTGCTTTGGATTGATCCCAGTCATATTTATACCAATTCTAACCAAAGGAGAAGAGGAAAATAAAGTGGATCAACTTGAACTAATAATTAGAGGATAAGCCTCAAAATCCATACACTGATACTACTTTATTTATAACCATACCTCAGTTTGATTGACAAAGAAATGGAAATATTCTTTAATTGAGTTAGGAGCCAAAATTATCATTTCTAACCAACTGAACTATAAATTCTAACATTTCTTTATGCTACAACAAAATACCATAAACAAATATAATCACCTTTAAATATTTGGAACTTTCACAAAATGAGTCCCTTATGAGATTGAGACTTTCCTAGACATTTGTTGAGAAATTCTGTTTTCTCTCTTCCTTCTTATGTCATCATATCATTCTCTCATCTTATTTCATCCTCCCTCAATAAACTTTGGGGGCTGTTTTTTTTTTTAATAAAGCTAATTAGATTGGTTCTCTTTTCAAGCTTGATGTCCTTGTCCACGCTGATTATGGATTAGAAGAGTTGTCCAATGTGTTCAGAGAACATTGAGCTAGTCTAATTCACTGTCTGCCTGATAGACATCACACTGCAAATATGTTAGAGTCATGCCCTATTATCATAGTAGTAATAATATTATTTATTATGAAATTGAGTCACAAGAGCAGTTGTCCATTATACTTACATCACTGATATTATAAGCATTGACTCTGGACTGGAGAAACAAAGGTGCATCTGGAGGTATGGAACATCTGGACTTTTCTGCCTCATGTTTGGCTTTATAATTCATCTGAAATATAGAATGAACAAATAATGATATAAACAATGACTAACATGCACTGCTCTTCACTATGGGAAGCGCTCCTTCTCCTAGGGACCAAGGATTAAACTGTGGCTACAGACTTTTTTGCAACCCCACTAACTATTGACCAAGTCATCGATGCCTTGCTCCAGTATCCAAACCAAGTGTCTTCCCAGATGGACTGCCTTGTCCAGATGATGAACGTTCGAAAGGAGCAGATGGGATACAATAGTGATGCCCATATTGTACCAGTTCTGCCCTTCCATGAACATCTGCAGCAGTCCCAGCTTTCTGAATACCAGCCGCCTTTCCTTAATGTTTGAAATCTAAGAAAATTTACTGCTTTCCTATCTCATGTAAGCCATATATCTGCCTGAGACCAGATGGCTTTATTAGCAACAGAACCTATATAGTATTTTCAATAAACCTGCTGACAGAGGGAGCTATAAAATGGCACCCCTCTCCTCCCCACTGCTTATTCAAAAAAGTTCAAATTTAGACAACTACAGTAATTTTGTGGCATGCCTGAGAGTTAATTTTGAGGATCTGGTCCAGCAAATGACTGCCAACCATGAAATCTGTCACCTCCAACAAACTGATGCAAGAGTCTGTTGCTGAGTTTCATCTGTTAGCTCAGGACATGAACTAGAAGGAAATAGGCTTAGCTGACCAATTCAAAGAGGGACTACCAGAAGAAATATGAGTTGGTCATTCATCAAAGCACCCAAGAGATGAGGGCAGCATTAATTTGAGGTCTGCCTGGTTATTGATGGAAGATTACTGCAAAGCACAAGCAGGAAGGGGGGGGGGGGGAGGAGGTACCACTATTCCCTTTCTTTCTCCTCCTCTCTCCTCCACCATACCTGAGGCTCCCCTTTTGAAGCATCAACTAAGTGCCATGGTTTCAGGGAAAGGGTTATTTTGCAAGAAAATCTCCCCAAATGGTGGCACCAGCCCCCAACTTCAAGCTGCTGAATGTCTCTTCAATTATTAAATGGATAATGCCAAGACCTTCTACAAGCCCTTTGCTGATCATCATTCCTAGAAAGCCACACCATTACTGCTGGAAATTATATCTGGCTTTCTACCAAATTTATCCCCTGCACATGGCAAACTAAGAAGCTAGATGCCAAGTTTATTGGATCATTCCATTTAATTACTGTATACAGATCAGTCCTATGGCCTTGGACCTACAGCTTACAACCATCATGAAAATATTCCTGCCAATTTATCCTGGTCCTGCAAGGCCCCATTGCCCTTAGCACACATCTGCCCCACTTCCTTCCTCATCTGAGCGGGGTAGATGGGGAAAGAATTCAAGGTAAAAAAATACTTTGGATTCTTGGCATAGGGTGGGTAGGCAGACAGGAATATCTGATTCACTGAGAAAGCTACCTGCTATTATCCTTGAGAGATAGCAAATTATTCTTGGTAGATGACAGATGAAATTCACACATCATGTCTCCTTTAAACTTCTGTCTGCAATAACTTCTTAAGCCAAAGCCATTTGATGGGCCACACAATCAAGCTTTAATACTTGCCACTAGTGTGGCATTATGAGTGGGAGTAGGAATGGTTTGGGGAGGGGCAGACAGACATATGTATATCTGATAAGAGACATACCGAGACTGGCTCACCTGGCAATGAGGAGAGTTCTGGAATGAGAGGAATTCCTCACAAAGAAGTAGAAGAGGTAAAAAATACCCCACTTCCTGCTATCCAGTGCCAGGAAGAGGGAGGGAGTAAAGAGGCCTGAAATGTGGGTCAGTTTCAATCCTCATTTGGGAGGAAAAACCAACCAACCAACCAACCAACCAACCAACCAACCTCCCTCCCTCCCTCCCTCCCTCCCTCCCTCCTTCCTGGATTTACATACCACTCTGATCCAACAGGATTCATTGGATACTCAATATAGTTTTCTAATCCTTCAGCCAAAGTTATTATATATGGAATTATTTTCTCTTCCGACAGGATGGAACTCCATCCATCTCTTCTATTTCGTTTGATATTGGAACATTTAGCCTATTTTGTCAAGCCACTGGATGACATAATGAGCTTAAAAATGGTGGGAGCCGAACACAATTTTTTCCTATATATTTTTAATTGATAGTTATGAATTTTCTTTACCAAAATTTATGACTATAAGTGTTTGGTAGATTATCAAATTATTCAATTAATTGGAGTGAATCTCATATAATTCCCATTAGTTCTAAAGCATTTATGGAAATTTTGGGGATTTTTACCTGGTGTTTGAATTATTTTAAATATCTTGGAATATTCCAAGAAAATCTATTTGTACATGTAAATACTTCCATTGTTTTATCTCTAATCGATACTGATCTAAAATAGGTGATTTACAATCCTCATGAATATATGTTAATTATTGTAAATGTTCTATATTAATACCTTCAAGGTATTTTAAGCAGACTGACAAGTTTATCACAAACATTTCTATGGAAAAGACAAACCTCTATTTTTTCTTTATGCAGATTACAACTACCATATCAGGATATGGTGGTGTCAATTTTCCTGATTTTCAGCTTTATCACTGGGCATATATTTTAACTTCTCTTTCTTTTGCGGAATTCAGATGATCAAAAGCACTTCCAGACTCAAGCAGTGAAGTGTTTTTCTGCTGTCTGTGAGCCAGCATCAAAGCCCGCCAGGTTCAAATGCAGTGCTTCCATTTCTGGCTCCTTTTCTACCTCCGCAATGAGGTAAACAAGGTTGATCAATGAGGAAAGTAAACAAAGAGGTGACAAAAATGCCTCCTTTGGTGTCGATTACTGGCAGCAGAAGACCTGTAGATGGGCCACTGGCACGGGTCAAAAAAATGCACCCATCCAGCCCTGAGGATCGGGCACAGCTATGCCTTCTCCACCAAGCCAGGGTGGACAGCTTCATCGTGGGGGCTTTCCTTCTACTTCTCTTTCCCCACAGTTGTCCAGTCCTGCAGAGTATCTCAGTGGGACAGGAGAATAAGAGGCTTCATCAGGTACAAATGCACACGCAGCTCTCTTGCCTCTTCTTGAAGCCTGGGCAGCCTGGGCAGGTGCTGGTAGGAGAAATGGCTCTTGGGCCCAATGAGGAAGCTCTGATTCTCCTGTTGCCAAGCACCGAATCACCAGCAAGCCAGAGGTGGCCAACAGCAGCAGGGCAGTTCGCCCTCCACCTTACCTTGAAATGAGGCACTGCAGACCATCCAAGCTGCAAGGTTTGTATTGCCTACAGTAGGAAATGCCTCTTGAAAGTAAAACAAAAAGAGAGGACTGCAGGCTGCCTTTGCAATGGGTGGAAGATTATCACATCCATTTCTGCCTTCCTGAAATGGTTAGCAAGGCACCTTCCTGCCACAATTAGCAGGATATGTGAAAGGGTCCCATGGTAAAAAAATAACTAAGGGCACAATCAGAAAATTTTATGTGACTCTTTCAAAGACATGGTCAGTTTCTCCAGAGTGTGAGGTGGGGAGGAGGGTGAAAATAGAAAAACAGATAGTACAGGGGCTGAATCTGCTGAAGCAGCAATCAGCAGTTTCTAAAAGCTAAAAAGGACCAGCCTGTAAATACCTCTAAGCCATCGTAAGCCATCAAGCAAACCATCAAACATCTGTTAACGAGAAAGGTGACAGAAAAAAGTGCCTAGATTTAAAATTCCAAAGCACAACCCTATATAAAGGCATTGACTTTTGGAATTGAGAAGGACAATGTCTGCCTTGCATAGGGCTTCATTCTTGTCTGCAACAGGGAACCTAATTATCTGATTCATGTCTGAGAGTCTTCTGCTAAATAAGCACATTCGTGAATAAGAGGATAAGTATCTGGAAAGCTGAGATGTCCTGCCATGCCTGAGCATGAAGCCTGACACATACTATACTCAACTTAGAACACATTGATTTGAGTCACGTCCTGAGGGTAATCATCCATGTATATCATAGTTTCATTCTCATCTCAAAGTCTTCTGCCAAGGAACCCTATTCATTAATGTCGGGAAAGCTGAGATGTCCTGCCATGCCTGAGCATGAAGCCTGACACATACTATACTCAACTTAGAACACATTGATTTGAGTCACGTCCTGAGGGTAATCATCCATGTATATCATAGTTTCATTCTCATCTCAAAGTCTTCTGCCAAGGAACCCTATTCATTAATGTCGGGAAA